CTCTATAACCTTTGATGTGTATCTGTGTGTATATGGAAAGCTATCGCTATCAATAGACAATTACACAAGAATTCCTGCCTCCAGGTCTGTCTGGCAGAAGCATTCTAGAGTTATTTTTGGTCAAAATATTTCTGGTTAGAGTCTAAATATTTGCACCTAGTCTAGATTTAGCAGCGTACTACAAGAACTTTTTAACCAGACATTGTCAATATGCCAACATATATATAACAACACAGGATTGGTAGCAGAACAAATAATTAGTTTTGATGGAAAAAAGCACCAGTACATTATATATGTAAAAATAAAGGAAGTAAACCGAAGTAGTGGGGTCTTTTGAAAATTGGGTAATGCAGTGATGACCTAACTTTAAAAACATGCAGCTGTTCGTATCACTGAACAAATTTAAATAAATTAGGGGTAAACGTGTATAAACCTTTGATAACACATCAGACTCCTCATGCACCCCTGCAGGTGGGGGATCGGGGAAAGAATACACTTGCTGTTACCCACTTGTAGCGTAGGAAGCGACTAATGTGGTTCACCAGTTGTCAGGATAATGTGACCGGGCAGATTGCTGTGCTTGGTGCCTTCAGCATGGCATTTCAGTGAGATAGCACTATAAAGTAGGCATCAGATCCGCACTATCACAAGGAGGCAAACACACCAACATACCCCGTCTCCTGCATACACAGACGGAGACACGCATTCACTACACACATGGAGGCACGTCCATAAATGACCTTAGCTGCTAATAGGACGTTAACTCATCAACCCATGGAGACACATTTGAGCTCTTCCAATTCAAAGGTTGGAATGGTTCATTATAAAATATCAGGGGTGAATGAGTTAAACAAAATTAAACCAAACCAAACCAGACTCCTTATATAAATATCACTGTGAGATATTTTGATGAACTGTAACAGCCAAAGAGAAAGAGGGGAAACTACTGTCTTTCTAGCATAAGTTAGCAGAAATGTGGTTTAACCCTTTCACCCCTAGGTAACTTTAGTATACTCTACCATACATTGATCTGGATGAGTCCATTATGGTCTACAGAGGTGAAAGGGTTAACCCAGGGACGTGATCACTACCAGTTCAGCTACACCATGCATGGTCAGTCAGGGGATGGGTGCATGCTCACACGTTACAGGAGGAAATGGCAAAATATCATTATTTAGGTAGAAAAATAGTTTAAATGTGTGAATAACAGAGAAACATTAACAAGACTCCCTTTAACCCATCCTCGCTAATTTGTAGGACGAAGTGCAGGTGCATTGCGTGTACTGTATAATATCAGAACCTTTTGCCATGCAGATCTGCAGGTTTCCCCACAAACGTATATGTGCAGAAATAAGTGTACCAGTAAATTGATTAAATAATGAAGAGAATCATTAGAAATTGGTCAGATCATTTTAACAATTTGTTTGTCATGGCAGTGTTACAGCTGGGATAAAGTGATTTAATAAATATCCTCATTTGAAATTGAAGCTTGTACATGTAGCTACCTACTTCTGTCTTCAGATGTCTGTATATTTTCATGCTCCATACATACGACTAACAAGCGTAGGATAGGAGGGGGGACTAAATACTGCTGGAGGCTCTTGTTCTGTATTTGTCTGACTGTTTTGAGAATGTGCACTACTAGCTTGATGCTTTGTGTGAGATAAATTAAGTTAGAAAAAAATGTTCAAGACATTTTATACCCAGTGAAAAAGTTGCTTAAGGACATGCAGAGTTTTGATATATGAACATAATGTAATGGCTCCTTACAAAACAAAGGTCCTCTAGTGAGTCAATTAAGTGAAAGGGCTATATAACATAGAGGCATGTGTGTGTGGAGGGAGGGGAGGGAGAATAAAACATGTCACATTATCTGACAACCGTTATGGGACAAAATCATTTTGTAATTTTGTAAAATGACATATTTAAGCTGCAAGGATTCACTGAAATTTAGCCAAAAAACCCCAGATATACAGAATTCTGCGTATTTCTTAAGTTTAAGAAAATAAATCAGGAGACTCTCCCTGCAGAATAGACTTGATTAGTATAATTATCTTGTTTGATTTTACAAGTACACTACATGCATGATGTTAAGTAAAATGTTACTGTCAGTATTGCTTGAACACTCACAGTAAACTATAGCTGGCAATACAAGGCAAGTGTCTACTTATATCACTGACTGCTATATATACCATCCTTGAGAGCACACACCAAGGACCAAGGACTGTGACAGTATGGAGTCAGAGGGTATGCTAACAGAGAGTCAAGCCTCCGAAGCGAGTAGCGCCAGAGGGGAAGGGTATAGGAGGGACCATAGCTGGAAAAAAGGCTACATGGCCCTAGAAGCAATCTCCCGTATTCTGGGAACTCCTTTTAGACTTATTATTAACAAGTAAAACCAGACTTTTTATATGAATAATATTTGATTTTGTACTTCACTAAGTAGTTTTTGATAAACCTTCGATATTTGCCCATGTGTACATAGACATAACATAACAACACTGTTTTATCAGACTAAAATGTTCAAGAAGATATTTGTATTTCTTTCCTTTTTTATGATTGATGCGGTCCATATTAATCATAAAAAAACAGAAATTGAACAAAATATGATTTTTTTGAAAAATCTTGAAAATTTCTGTGTATGCTGGAGCATATAAGCATACATGTATGCTACGCCACTGGGGGTAGTACATGGCCACTAGGGACTTTGGTTACACTGCCCAGGGGAGCCCCATAGGGCTAGTCCATCTTGTGTAGTAACAGGGGTGTTAGGATACTCTAATCTCTCCAGTCACTTAGAGCTGTACATGTATATGAAACCTTCATAATACAGGTATTATCTATTTAAACTGAACTCTCTAAAACTGATAACCTGTCTAAACTGAACCTTATATAATACAGCGATAACCTGTCAAAACCCAACTCTTCCTAAAACAGCTAACCTATCTAAACTGAACCTTATATAATACAGAGATAACCTGTCTTAACCCAACTCTTCCCAAAACAGATAACCTGTCTAAACTGAACCCTACATAATACAAAGATAACCTGTCTAAACTGAATCCTAAATAATACAGAGATAACCTGTCTAACCTGAAGTCGACTTAACTTGAAAACCTGTAAATATACTAGGTCTTCAATTACATTTCACTTGTGTGTAGTACATGTGTACACTTCTATCTAAACTAAACATGCACCATGAGAAAATCTGTCTGATTTGAACAGGAGTACTGGCTCTGTTACAGTTAGGAGACAGGACTGACTGTATGATTTGAACAGGAGTACTGGCTCCGTTACAGTTAGGAGACAGTACAGACTGTCTGATTTGAACAGGAGTTCTGGGTCTGTTACAGTTAGGAGACAGGACTGACTGTCTGATTTGAACAGGAGTACTGGCTCTGTTACAGTTAGGAGACAGTACTGACTGTCCAGATCAGGAATTGGCCTGGATGGAACTTGACAGGTTTCACTGTACAATTTTACCTTTGAGATAGGAACAAGGGCAGTACAAAAAACATGATAAAACATATTGAGTTGACCAATGTGTTTAGGTATATGCTGGCTTTGAAGTAAGCGTTGATGACACATCAAAAAGAGGGTTGTATACTTGTTCAACCCATTCAGTTAAAACTTGCAGATGATGAGATCTAAACTGCAGCTTGCATATTGCACCAAAGCATCTGTTTGTAATAAACGTCCACACCTAAGTGTTACTGTATTACCTACATCTGCTGCTGAGTGGTGTTACCATGGAGGTGCGCTATCAGCCTCGACAAAACAAATCACATTTCTCACAATTATGTTTATTGGATTTTGTAAAAAGAGATACTGTAGTGCAACGTTTTGTTAGCTTTGTGGCAGCTAGCTAGGTTCCTTATTACAGAGGCTACACAAAACAAGTCTTATAATTACCACCACAAATAACAACAGATAGGCAACAGTAACAAATACTGTTAATGCTATACTAAACAAGTTCTTTTGCACAAAATCAGTTGCTTGATAAATTTATATCAAAATAAACAGTTTATTGTGTATGTGATCTAACAATGATTTTATGTTGATGTAATGCAAATTATATGTATAAATCTGCTGTTGAAAAAATAAAAATAAATTAAGTAAAAACTACCGAACAGTTGATTTTATTTGAACATCTATGTGAAAATATGATTAAAGATATTTGTCTGTATTTTTTCTACCTTTAAAAAGTTAAGTGGTTAATATCCGTACCGAAGTAGTCTACCCTAGTCAGACCCCCAAAACGAAGGTCGAGTCAAAAGTCCAATTTAGTGATGCATCGTTTGACCAGGAGAAAAGTATTGATTCAAGGGATTCCAATGTGTTGCCTTTTCTGTTGTTTTGTCTGTGTACCAATTGTGTTGGATAGACTTTGTGTCAGCTCCACTTCTGTGATACATGCACAATAAGTCCAATAGGAATTAAGTTCATATGTACGTAGGTCTCTGTGACCTATCTTTTCTGCTTCACTGACTTTTGTTAGACTCAGTGTTTACCTGCATTTATGTGATTATAGACTGCACTTAGCTCTACTTCTGCAGTATTACATACAGTACTCATACTTATGAAGAGTACTACATCATCATCATACGACCTGTAGGTCACAGTGACCTATATTTTCCACTTTAGATACTTTGGTTAAACTTTGCGTTTAGCTCCACTTCTCTTGGTACTAGAAGTCCCACAGCCATCAAAGTGTATATGCAGTTACATGTTTAGGAGGTAGATCACCGTGACCTATAATTACTGCTTCACTGATTTGATTCTACTTTGCCTAATTCTCATCAAGCGGTGGCAGAGATGCATATGTTGGATTTACAAATATTTTGTAGTTCAAAGTATAGCTTGTACTTAAGTCAAGTTTATCATTTGTGATTGTCAACATGTTTCACCTATCATAGGTATTATAATAACCTTTGCTGTAATACCTATATAACTATTGTAATGTAAATCCGTTGTAATTTGATGTTTATTGTGTGTTACAGCGGCTGTAGCAGCAGCAGGCAGCTCCCCGACACTGGCCAGGGCTTTGGCCGCAGTGCAGCAAACGCAGAAACGACCCAGAAGTGAAAAGAAGGCGTTCCCCTTGGAACAGAAAGACGGAAAATATTTCGAAAGACGAAAACGAAACAACCTTGCAGCTAAAAAATCAAGAGACGCTAGAAAATCTCGTGAGGATGACATATCCATTCGTGCTAGTTTCTTGGAAAAAGAAAATGCTATTCTTCGGGCTCAAGTGGCAACATTACGAGAGGAAGCTAATTCGCTCAAACAGCTTCTTCTCCAGAAACGTTCAAAACATTGATGTGATTGTACAAGAAGTTCCCAGATTTTATATGAAGGTTGTGTTGCAATCTTCATGTTGTTAAGAAAACCGGTGTTTTTGTTAAAATTTGCATTTTGTAACATACCTTACTATTTTTACATAGATGATTTCATCAAAGTTTGTTTTTTATTGTTGCCTAGAAATTATAAACTAATCTTTTTAAAAATTAGAATTTTACCATTGTCATTAAATTCAATTCTGGTATCATGAGCAATTTAGCAATTAATGTATGCATCATATTTTAAAATAATGTGAAAGAAATTTTGGCAGGTGTTTCGAAAAAAAATTGCACTATGTTTTTGTCACACAGTAAACTTAGCACACTTAGACCAAGAGTATAACATACAGTATCATGTCCCTAAAATCACTTCATTACCAGCACTGCCTGTAAAAATGAAGCTTCACTTAGAAAATTACATTCAGACAGATCACTGAGTTATATTCCACATGAAACCAATACAGGAATTGGCAGGGTAATACAAGGTTTGGTTGAAAGTTGACCTTTCTGACCATTGTATGACTATAGAGGGGACACAACATTATTCTCTGGCAATATTTATAAATGTTCAGGGGAATCGTGTCACTCAGATTGTGTTGAATTGCAGATTTTATTCTGACAACTGAATACCAGATATTTCATGTGAAGTATTTCAATGCATGACAAACATGTAGAAATGTTTCATTAAACTTGACAGAACCCTTGCCTAATATACATGTGTGTCTTGGGTATTTCAATGCATGACAAACATGTAGAAATGTTTCATTAAACTTGACAGAACCCTTGCCTAATATACATGTGTGTCTTGGGTATTTCAATGCATGACAAACATGTAGAAATGTTTCATTAAACTTGACAGAACCCTTGCCTAATATACATGTGTGTCTTGGGTATTTCAATGCATGACAAACATGTAGAAATGTTTCATTAAACTTGACAGAACCCTTGCCTAATATACATGTGTGTCTTGGGTATTTCAATGCATGACAAACATGTAGAAATGTTTCATTAAACTTGACAGAACCCTTGCCTAATATACATGTGTGTCTTGGGTATTTCAATGCATGACAAACATGTAGAAATGTTTCATTAAACTTGACAGAACCCTTGCCTAATATACATGTGTGTCTTGGGTATTTCAATGCATGACAAACATGTAGAAATGTTTCATTAAACTTGACAGAACCCTTGCCTAATATACATGTGTGTCTTGGGTATTTCAATGCATGACAAACATGTAGAAATGTTTCATTAAACTTGACAGAACCCTTGCCTAATATACATGTGTGTCTTGGGTATTTCAATGCATGACAAACATGTAGAAATGTTTCATTAAACTTGACAGAACCCTTGCCTAATATACATGTGTGTCTTGGGTATTTCAATGCATGACAAACATGTAGAAATGTTTCATTAAACTTGACAGAACCCTTGCCTAATATACATGTGTGTCTTGGGGTATTTTCACGACCAAACGTAAAAAAAATCGGGGCACAGGTCATGTCAAAGTTTGTTTAGGTGTCTTCACTTCAAGGTCAAGGCTACAAACTGAGGTCAGAGGTATCATCCAAGTTTTCTTTTCGCATAACTCAATAATAATCAGCTTATAAGTTTCATAAAACATTCTTTAAAGTTGACATTAAAAAAAAACACTTCTTTGAGAAAATTCACCCAAACCTAACTCCCATTCAACTGTTATCAGATACAGAGGTTTGTGCAATGCCCTAAGCAGACCTTACATCACCTCATATCTATAGAATCATATACAGGAGTTTTCATTTCATATGAAATATCTGAAATCAGAATTTTCCATTTGAGTTCAAATCAAAACTTGAAAATTATGTATCATTAAAATGATGTAAAAGGAAAACGAAAGATTCTTTTTATCAGTTTGTCAAGTTTTTTTGGGGGAATTATACAAACAAGCCTGTCTTAATGATTCTATATCTTTCTCCATCGTGACTTCATGATGTAACTTGGAAATCTGTGACGTCATTTGATTTCATTTATGACATCACAAAACTTCATTATACACGAGTCATATGTAGTGACACAAGTGTTATCACTTATGGACTATATGATGAAAAATTTGTACTTGTAGCTTATTTGATCAACACAAAAAAATGTTAATTATAAGGATCGTTCATGTACAGATAATTTTTTTGTTCATCAATTCGTTCAAAATGTTTATCATAGGCATGATTAATGATGTGAAAAGTATTGATACTTAGGTTCTGTTTATTTTACTGGTGCTCATATGTACAAAAACCTGGTGACTTAGTATTTCACAAGTTTCATTTTATAAATTATATATACCCGGTAAAATTTTATCTACTCTCAATGTGTTACGTCTGAGCTCATATATACTTTTGTTTAATTTGTAATCAATGAGCCAACATTTTAATATTGAACAAGCAGCTAACTGTTATCATCATGTTTTCATTGACTGGCAATGTTTTATTGTTAAAAATTCATAACTGTTAAACTATGTTTAGGATTAGCTTGTGAATTGTGCTGTTTGTTGATCAAAGGGAGACAACTTGGTAGTCTGTGTGTTCCAATATCAATATTACAACCATGCCACCCAGTTTTCAAATATCCTGGCGCCTGTATTGAGCTTTGAAATATCATCAGACTGCATTAGCAGTTAAAATAAAACAATGGACATTTTTTTTCCAAGTATAATTTAGTTGCTAAATGGCATTTATTAGAATACTTGAACATGGTTTGATTGACATATTATATTTCTAACTTTCGAATGTTTTAAAGCTGTACAAACTGACGTCTACGTTCACTCGAATTCTAAAAGGGTTTCATTTTGTATATATAGTGTACATTTAGTGTAATCTAGTGGCTAGACAGATCGTATGGGACTTCCGGTGCATTGAAAGTGTACGTGTTTTATGGTTAAATTGGATTGCATGGTTTCTTTCATTGCTTTTCAATCAATCAGTCCTAGAACTACTGGTGTTGGACCTAAATCTTAAAAGCAAAACATTAAAACAGTCGTATCTCCTCTACAGCTCTCATTCAGTGCTGTACTCTTTGATGTGTGCTCGTGTTACTTTTGCATTTATTTGCAAAATTAAAAAAATTGATGCGGTTTTGAATTTGTAGTTTCTACATTGTTCTTGAGTGTGACTTCATTAGAATATTTGCTTTATCCAAAATTCATGCTTCATTAACTCTCACAGAAGCTACCTTTCTGACATGTATATATATAGTATACTGCAGCAAGTCGTTATTTATTTGGAGCATGATAATTACTAAATGAGGTTTTGCTCCTGTGGTATACTGGACGAAATATTTCCCCAAATCACAGTACCTAGTAAATGCACCTGAAGTCCCCATTCTGAATCTGGTTTCAATGCAGTGCTGTTATTTCTTTAAAGAAAACAATTTTTATTGAGGATATTTGTGCGTTGATGCGCCAGATTGACTCGGGTAGGCTAGTACTCCTTACCCACTGTGCTGTTGTGTATAATCTGTACATATTGGGGGTATGTCAGCTTGGCTGGGAGATTACCCAGTGTAGATATTGATACCAGTACTTCTTCAGGTTTAACTACTCAAAATTTAACCTGTAATGTTTTAAGAATTTACCAGAAGATGACTCAAATCACACGAGGTACAAATCACACCTGTATTTACTGAGTAATGTTTATGAACATTCAATATAACACACCTGTACGTGATGTCATCGTAGGTGTAATGCAGCATGTGTACATTGTAAGCACGACGCTCTTAAGATGTGGAGGTGTATAAGGCAATGCAATGTTGCTATATTAAGATATACAAAATATTTATCAGAGAAAGCACAAACAGGTACATCAGTTTGTTCAAGCAGCGGACACTTAGTTTGCTGGGGGATTTTGATGAAACTTTGCAAGATATTATAACAAAGCACTATACATTACTATGTGTGAGTGACCTAGTTTTTGTTGAGCACTAACCCCATATATATCAGAATATATCTATAAATAACCTGTCAATGTATGTTACCCTAGCTGATTTTATTCTGGCTGATAACTTTTGTGTGTAACTGTTTGAACATTTTGTTATAATGAATAACTACCTCATGTATATTATACCCGTGAATTATTGAAATCAGCCACAAATTGATAAAGTTTTGTTTTACATATGTGTGTATATATATGATATTATATATGATATTTGTAGTTGGTGTTATACCCCGGTTAGTGTTAAGTTTTGATATCTAGAGATAGTGCAATGGTCGCCTTGTTGTTCAAGACATATTCTGGTGATACAACGTGTATTCTGGTGATACAACACGTATTCTGGTGATACAACGTGTATTCTGATGATACAATGTGTATTCTGGTGATACGTGTATTCTGGTGATACAACATGTATTCTGGTGATACAACACGTATTCTGGTGATACAACACGTATTCTGGTGATACAACATGTAATCCGGTGTTACAACATGTAGTCCGGTGATACAACATGTAGTCTGGTGATACAACGTGTATTCTGGTGATACAACACGTATTCTGGTGATACAACATGTAATCCGGTGTTACAACATGTAGTCCGGTGATACAACATGTAATCCGGTGTTACAACATGTAATCCGGTGTTACAACATGTAGTCCGGTGATACAACATGTAATCCGGTGTTACAACATGTAGTCCGGTGATACAACATGTAGTCCGGTGTTACAACATTTAGTCCGGTGATACAACATGTATTCTGGTGATACAACACGTATTCTGGTGATACAACATGTATTCTGGTGTTACAGCATGTAGTCCGGTGTTACAACATGTAGTCCAGTGATACAACATGTAGTCCGGTGATACAACATGTAGTCCGGTGTTACAACATGTATTCCAGTAATACAACATGTGTTCCGGTGATACAACAGTAATACATAATGTATTACAGTGATACAACGTGTATTCTGGTGATACAACATGTATTCTGGTGATACATGTTGTATCACCAGAAGACACGTTGTATCACCAGAATACACGTTGTATAACCAGAATACATGTTGTATCACCAGCATACACGTTGTATCACCAGAATACAACGTGTATTCTGGTGATACAACATGTATTCTGGTGATACAACATGTATTCTGGTGATACAACATGTAGTCTGGTGAAACAACGTGTATTCTGGTGATACAACATGTATTCTGGTGATACAATGCACAGTCCATTGTAACAAGTTCACAGTATTATTTGTTTGAGGTAAAGATGCAAAGATCACATACAACTTCTCGAATTCGGATGAAAGCAAAACTTTTATTTTTGAATTTTCAGTTAAGCCCACTTTGGTCCAAAGAATTTTCTGTAAAAGCAGTATTGCTTAGGAGGTGGAAGGGCTTACTTACAATTTTTTGTTTAACTTTTATAAAAATAACTTCAATTTAAGAAAAAAAATAGGAGAAAAAGTTCAGCAAAGTTTTCTCTTGTATTTCCACAACATTATCCATTAATTGCATTTAATTAAATGTGTACTTATCCTAATATCAGATACAGTTGAGAAAGAATTGTTCAGTTGGCCATCTTTCATGGTATAGGTACAGTATTTCATAATGCACTTCAGTCAGTATCCAATTTAGTACAAGATCTACCTTTATTTAAAAGATTCTTTTCCATTCTGAAAATTTTCATCTTCAAAATTGTCTTAAGCAATATTATTATGTCACAAGTATCAAAATGTCAATCAATGGTTGGCTAAATCGCTTCTGAATTAAATTCCTTATTTAATAGAAACAAAAAGGAATGATATTAACATTTCATATCTTTGATTTACAATATATATTGTTTAGTTCAGTAGACTATTGTTACATGATTTTCCAATATTTTTCATGAAATTTATTGCGTTTAATTTTAATGCTGAAATAATTAATTTGGAAGAAGAGTTTAACCCATTTTTCCCATTCATATTCTTAGAGAAAGAAAAAAACAAATTGTAAATGAATTTGATTATATGTGTAGTGTCGTTGTTCACAGAACGTTTAGATTCATACAAAACATCAGTCATATGGTATTCATGAAATAATACATTAATTAACGGCCAATCTATCTCAGGAATTGTTATTTTTTTGTACAATTTCACTTTGTTATATATATATGTATAATATGTGTATAGTGTGTTTGTGTGTGTGTGTGCTGAACTCTGGATACTTGAGACAGACTACATGTATCTTAACCATGCTCATATTTTGTTGTATTAAAGTGGTCATGCATTTGACAGGACACCAAGCTAGAACCAAATTTCACTGCTGTGTAGTTATATGAATGAAATTGTATCCTTAGATTGTTTTCCCAAAGAGATATGTTCATGTATAAACTTTTGGCAATTTTATTTTGAAAACACTTGGTTAAAAGAAGTTCCACATAAAACTGATACTGGTGCAGAATATTAAAAGAAGAAAAAAGAGAAGAAAAAAAAGCAAGCATGTAATAAGATTTAAGAGAAAGGCCATGGGCTGGATCCCCCACATTTTAATATTTTCTGTCTTCATATCACCTTAGCTGTTGGGAGGAAGTTAAATCCGAAACAAGAATCTAAACATCTCACAATTCCTAGATTTTCTGTTGACACCAGTAAGATATACCAATGACATGACAGATAGCTGAGGAGTTACCTGCCCTTGGTGTAGATACATGTAGATCTGTTGACAGGACCAGATATTGCGTTCAGCCTTTACAAGTTTATCTCAGGGAATTAAACATGTAAAATAGTATGTACAGATTGACTTTGTTAGTGTCCATTTTGTCATTGAATTGATGTATAAGCCTTACGATTGTTGGTAAATATCATTATCAGCTTTTACAGAGTCGAAGATGAGAGAAATATTTACACCTTAAATTGATTTTTTGTCAAATACAACATGCAGGAAAAACATCAGGGACTTGTTGTTCACAGCCTGACAAGATTCTCAAGGTGCTAGCAAGAATTTTCTTTGAGTAAATTTTGAGAAAAATCTAAAAAAAAAAACACTTTGATACTGGGCCCATTTTTGTTTTATTATGGTACCATGTCATTTTTTTCTCCATCAGCAAAGTGCCTTATATGAAAAACAATTTTTCATCCAACTACATATATTATTTTGAAATTTTATGAAAAATGTATTTGGAAAAACTCCTGCTGGGCCATAATATCTAATCCTTGTTATAAATAAAGGGAGATAATCATTTATTTGGTGGAGTCCCGATTACACCTTAGAGCTGCTATCATGATAACGATGTACTTGTGAAAGTTTAACTAAGGCGATATATTTCAGTTGTTTTGTTGTTATATTATAGCCAATATTTTACCGAATACTCAGGAAATTTTATGATATTCTTTTTTGATTAAATTGTATGTAATTTTATTAGCCAACGGGTATGAAATAGTTACATGTCGGAATTTTTCAAGATTTGCTGTAAACTATCTGTGATATACTTTCTGTATACACAAAAATGCTGCCTCATATTTTTCGCCGATAGACTGAACATTTACAAAACATATTTGTATCAGTATTTATGTGTAAATACTTGAGTACAATGTACTTTTTCTTTGCCAGCGACGAGTCTATTCGACTTAGAAACATGCATATTACTGAAGTATAGTCAATTTACAAATATTTCGCGGAGTGGATTTAGGATTGAAAGTTGTATTCTTTTTGACAAAACAGTATTGGACAAAACCAATTTCACCTTTGTAAAGATTGTTATATTGACACTTACATACAAACGATTTGTATATTATCATATTATTATGTATTTCTCTCTTGTGAAATGGAAATGAAGAGATTTTATGTCAAAACCAATTCCTGTTTTGTATTTATATTTGTTGAACTTTGTGAGAAGCTGATTGTATGTAAAGTACCACCAGAGTGCTATCACCTTCTACAGCTAATATGATCAAAAGAGAAATATAGTTAGCATTAAATGTAAGAACCCCCGTCAGATGATCACAAAGAGAAATATAGTAAGCATTAAATGTAAGAACCCCCGTCAGATGATCACAAAGAGAAATATAGTAAGCATTAAATGTAAGAACCCCCGTCAGATGATCACAAAGAGAAATATAGTAAGCATTAAATGTAAGAACCCCGGTCAGATGATCACAAAGAGAAATATAGTAAGCATTAAATGTAAGAACCCCCGTCAGAGGATCACAAAGAGAAATATAGTTAGCATTAAAAGTAAGAACCCCTGTCAGATGATCACAAAGAGAAATATAGTTAGCATTAAATGTAAGAACCCCCGTCAGATGATCACAAAGAGAAATATGTTTGAGATAGAGTTACGTGCCAAGAACCACTGACAGGTCATAACAAAGAGAAGCATGTTGGAGATAGCATTTGATATTAAGATTTATCATCATACAAAATGTTCAACAATAACTAAAAGTAGACTCAGAGAAATACACTTACATTTAAGGAAATCTAGGACACTGAAAGTTGAATAAGACTTCACTCTCATTTAATTAAAAAAATATAAAATAGGAAGCCCTTGTTAAAGTGTAAGTTTATGCAGAAAGTTAAACAAATATAACATTTGCATAAACATCTGGCCATCCGGTCCATTTAGGACTTGACAATGGTTTTCAGAATAAGATTCATCAGTGCTAATTTTGTGTGAACACAAACAGGATTTGAAAATTTGACAAAGGAACAAAACAGACGTTTTCGAAAGCATGCAAAATAAGTTTTCAATTCCTGTTGGTGTTCAAAACAAACTTGGCAAACATTAGTCATCAGCGAAGGGGGCTGTTAACTCTTGTAACCTCGAAGACTCGGTTCCAACAGGTTATTGATTTTAAACTTGGTATTTAATGTAAACTGTGTCCGAGTAAATTAGCTTCATCATTACGGCCAATCTCAGAAACTCATACTATACCAGAATAATTTCACGAAAACAATCACTAGAAATAAGACACAATACCTTTTTAAATTTCATTATGATGATGTAGAAATCCAACGAGGTGAAAACAAATGCTGCACAAATAATCATTACAGTAACAAAGATAAAAAGGGTGAAAAACCATCTCTAACATGTACCGAAACACGTACAAAGACGGCAAAATGGGAAAGTTGTCAATTGAATATTCTACAACGTTACATATTGACAAAATTTGGCAACAACTTATTAATTATTTTGGGATTACTGTCCAGAAAGGGAAAGTTAATGATAAGAAAATCGAAATAATTCCCAGATTGATAAAACTCTTCCAGTAATTCAGACACGTATGCAAACGAAAGTCAACTGGACAAGAGTTGAACACAGCCAGTCCCCACCAGTATTCAAAATGTCTTCTGGGAAATCGTGCCACCAAACTCGACGAAGATATCATCAAGCAGTATTCAACTATGATCACAACTTCATCATTAGCAAAACTATGCTCCAAAATTATAACAACTATATTTACAATGCCGTTCTAGGAAAAGAGACCTCTTATATCAGGAGAACGAACGCGTTCCTTCAGTTTGGCACGAGGTATAGTAGTGTACAGAGTGAGAAAAAACGATGTTCTGACAGAAGAATCAGTTAAAAAGAAATGATGCTAAAGTTTGATTAAACGATACTCCGAGTTCTTCAAAATCCAAATCCCATCAACGATCACTTTTTGAATTGCAGTGTAAAAATAAAGACTGTAAGCCAGATTTAATGTTACTAAGAAAACACAAAAATAGCGAATTGTTGTTAAAATTTATTCACATATTATGCAGAAGAAAAGTCCTCGTAAAAATCCACAGAGGACCAAATTGTATTTCAGTTTTCTATTTTCCCCATCTTCCAGGAAACATAATCACAGTGTGAGGATCTCTGGCATTGATATACTTGATGAGCTCCGCACACTCGTCAGACTGGCAGTGAACCTCTACACCCCGGAGTTGTCTTTCCTTGCTTCCGTTGTTCTGGCTCGTTTCATCGATAGGTTGTCTGCCCTTGTGACCCGACATTCCAACAAAATTTGGTTG